CCGCCCCCCCCCGGTTGTTTCCCCCCCCCCCCCCCCCCCCCCCAATTCTGGTCGGAGTACGTCCGCCCCACCCTGACGTAGAGAAGTTAGCCCCCCCCCAACGTTCCACTTGGCCCCCCCATTGACGAAAACCTGGCTACGCCGCTGTTCATACCACATAGCGAATCACATTCCACGAGGTCAGCATGCAATCCTCACCTTTGCGTGCATGCTCGGCGAAACTCTGGCTAAACTTTACAACAGCAGATGAGCGTCTTGAGTGGTATCGAGCTTGTTCCCTGGCAGGGGACCCAGTTCATACAATCTTATTGACTTTCGTTGAGTCTAGACTACACTCATTGCAGTACCCTCTCCCCCCACCCACTTTACCAAGTTATTTTATTTATTTTTTTCGGAGGTAAAAGTATGGTCTGTCTAACTGCCATGTGGTGGACCGTCACGTATGTTATGGTCCACATGGTAAGGTCTTCCTAACCCCAGGGCTGGCGCAATGGAAGACCTTGGTAAAGCTAGTAAATTAACAATGGAAAGGTGTTCCATGGCTATTGTCATGGGGGTTAATTCAAGGAAAGGGAGAACAGCCTATCCGTATGCAGGTTAATTACTTCATGTTTCGTTGGGCATTTTACCTTACGTCCAACAGGAGCGAAAGGATGAAAGATGTAGGTTTCTAGCCATTTTACTTTGACGTCTGATTGTGTTCTGCTTTTAATTAATTCCTATAACATTAGCAGCCAATAAGAAGTTATTCAAGGTCACGTGCCTGAAATGAGCAAAATATGTTTTCAGGTGCCATCAGCCAGGAGGGGCCCAATCGGGCGACGTAGTGGCAGGGGAGGTGGTTGATTAGTGAAAGGGGTTTTTTGTGTTTATGGATCAGGGCGATCAGAATTTTATCTGAATGAATCGGATCAGTTTCAGCAAATGCCCAAATATTAGTCCTTGGAATATGGAAAAACCTGAGTGAACCATTCAACGTTTCTGAAACGTGATGAGGTAACGTCCCAGCAACAAATTTTTTTTTAGACATTGTGTTGTTTCATGGACGTTATAATGTGACTTTACAGCAACAACGAATGTATTGTGTGAGACGTGAGTTTTGCAATAATTTTTAATAGAGGAAATGCTGGCCTGTTGGAAACAGATTAATACAGAAGCTGCAAGAAACTGATACGTCTGTAGGATGGGTCCTGAGTAGGGTCGACCAATATCAGCTTAAATTGAGGGAAACGCGATTGTTACTGAACATTATTATGCAGTGACGCAAAAGTCTCAGATGCAGGACGCCTGAGACATAAGGGTGCGCCAGAGATTTGTTAGGCGGATATTGATGTGCTGAGATAAGAAGCTAACTAAAGAATTAGCACTCCTAATCAGTTTTTTTGCTATTTTGCGCCATACCCATCCATTTTATAAATTTTATTCCAAATGCTTGCGAACACGGGAAGTACCACGGCTGTCTCCTCATTTTCCCTGACAGCTCCCAGAACTCTGTAGCTTCATTATTCTGAAGGGAAAATTAGGCTTTGAGGACTTGGTGATGGATGTGGAAAGAAATCGATAGATTTATTTATTAATGTGCGAGGAATTTATCTATTCATAGAGGATAGGAAACTGACTGGGAAAGGGAAATATCGTACCTGCACCTGCATTCCAAATGCAGCCACGTGTCTCAATCGATTGATACATCGATGGACTGAATGCGGAACGTCCCAATGCTTCTTCGCGCAGAAACATGAACGAGTTTTCCAAAATTACGTTTTATTCTAAACCTTCATGTATTTAAATAGGAATTTCCGGTAGTCTCAAAAGCAGGTTTAATCGATAAGTACGACGGGGATAATTCCTACCCCACTCAGTTGACCTTCAAAGAATGCTACTGTTCATGAGGAAAAAAAGGACCTTGTCAACCAGTATTTTCAGTTTAATCAGTATGTTTACAGAAACATGTTCAAATGTGGCAAAGCAATTCTATCACTAGTTATTGGAAAGAAGTTAGACATAGAGAATGGACAAGAGCTCCTGCTGGTTGTGGAGTGGAGGACGCACTGGAGCGTCATCCGTCCTGCTCTTCAAGACACCGTCGAACTCCACTTTCATTTATGTCGCTGGTTGCCTCTTGCAGGTGGTTTTCATGAGCTTATTCCCAACCAATAGTAGATGAATCATGAAACATCAATCTCTAGTTTTCTCGACTTTCTTTCTTAATTTCGCTTGTTTTGTCAGTCTGAGTCTGCTGGGTATGTAGAAAAAAGATCAATAACTTTGAGTGTATCATGCTGGTTGCCGGAGTTGCTGAGGATGTAGCATAGTTTTATTTATTTGAAAGTCGACGAGGCTGCAAAAAAACACGTTATTATTTCAGGTCAAAGTTACAAACGATATAATATCTATGATCAGCTGGAATTTAAAATGGACAGTTCCGTTTTCTTTAAGCAAGCAAATTCTGAATGAAATGAGAAAACTCTATTTATTGATATTCATTGATTCATCTACTATTGGTTGGGAATAAGCTCATGAAAACCATCTGAAAGAGGCAACCAGCGGAATGAGTGCATTTACTGTAAATTGAAGTTTTTGTCCATTCTCGATGTCTAACTTCTTTTTAACAATTGCTGATGGAATTGATTTGAAACAGCAAATTTGGGTCATAATCCAGTTGGAAAAATGCATATAAATGGAAATTGAAAGTTTCGCGAAAATAAATACTTTGTGTGGGGAGATATTTAGATTGAAAATCGTTGGTAATTTATTTGCCATACCCTGTATATGGTGTTATCACGACAACGCCTATCCTCTAAATGAGAATCGGAAACGCGATGGAAAAACCCATAGGGTTCAGATCAGACTGTTCATTACTGTATGAAACTGAGCTAACAAGCAACTTACGGAACGTAGACGCTTTTTTCTCTTTACCTTCGGCTTTTCATTGAATTTTTCTATTTACAAGAGGAAGGCTTAGATTACCAAGTGCGTGAGGAATGCCTATGCATGCTGCATGATTATGCATGGCATTCACCATGGTTATTTCACGCCAACTTCCTGCAATACAGAGTCAAAATCATTCAAAAGGGACACATTTGCACAAACTTCCCTCACGTACGATTTCCTTCCATTCAATCTTCCCCCTTCCCCCTCCCCCCCTAAGTAGAGCTCGTATTCATGGAGTGCCTTATGGTGACACATTTCTTGTGTCGATTTCCTTCTTCAATTACGCAGATTTTCCTCATGTTAGCGATCATGCATTTCCATGGAAAGAATCTTGAAGGGTGGTAAAGAGCTAAAAAAAAAACAATATCGTGATATGAAGGCAAGCATATATATATATATTTTTTTTAATGTCGAAAAATCTCATGACGTTGTGGTAATCTGCACACCTCTACCTGTTCTTCATGGAGTACCTGAAAGAACCGTGTACAAGAGCTCCCCCCCTCCCCCTTTCCCCTTCGTTTCCTGGCTTTCAAGTTAAAAACCTGCCATTACCTCCATTATGTTATATTTAGTTGAGGCCTGTCAGGAACATTTCTACTCCAGGTGTCCTAATAATCCCACCAGTTTATACCTATTCATACCACCAATACTATAACACGAAATATCTTCGTCTTCAATGTAGGTTGGTATGAAAAGCATTGGTCATTATATTGATTCTCTTTTGATCAGGTGCAGCTGTATGCGATCAGCATCACTAATAACAGCACGACAATGATACTGGTGCTTGGCTAATAAAGGAGGTAGACAATGACAAATTGATGGTCATTGGGCACAAAGACTGCAGCTTATTCATTCTGAGAGTTAAATTGCCTTCGCCTGGGAAGGCAAAGGTGTCTAACGAGCCTCTAGAAATTGTATGCACGCATTCGGACTAACAAAGAACTCCAGGATCCGAACGTCATTAACGTGTTTCCCACTCTCCTTATCTATTATTCACACTCGAGAACAGAGGAGATCCCAACATGCACCACATGCGGTGGGGTTCATTACCGTTCTGGTTTCAGCTGTTCTCCGTCCGTGCTGCTTTGGCACAGAGAAGGGAATGGGTGGGAAAGGAATTCATCTTGTCCTGTGTTACCTGTGTTTCGTGCTTGGGACGGGGGAGGAAGATTCGGCTGGATTTGCAGTTCTAGTCGACAGTCTTCTTACGTACCATGGATGTTACTGCGCCACATTCATCGATGGTCTTCAGCAACAAGGTTGCATGCATGCTGATGCTGTTATTGTCTCCCTTTATGCTGTTAAGTGAATTAAATCAATATGATGTTCAATGTGATTGCATGATGGAAAAGGATGATTGAAAAATATAGTACGCCACGTGGATCCTCACGGGCGAATAACGATATTATGTAAATCAAGGAGTGCATTCCAGTCACCTCGTTCCTAGTCATTGAATGCTGTCGTGGAACTTATTTATTCATAAGATTATTTATTTACTGATTTTGTAATTCCCAAGCAGCCCTCAGTACCAAGGAAAACACTATAAAGCCTGCAAAATAGACTCGTGGTTTCACTTTTCACGTTACGCACCCGCCCTTTGATGTATTTTCAATGCTTGATTGAAGACGGGACGTCTCACATTCCCAACAGTATATCTTACAGTGGTCGGGAAGAACGAGAGTTTCAAGACGATGCAAAGTCTGGCAAATAAGTATGCCGTTACTTGGTTAACGGGATGGGATGCAGTCCAAGAGGCTTACGAAGGGGAACAGCGAGAATGCCTCTATATTTTCCTCTTGTCCAAACAGGACACCCTCTCCACCTTTCAAGTCTGTTTCCATTCCTTCTTCACTTATTTACCTAATCCTCCTTGGACCTGGGTGACATGTATACGTGCCCATTCCTGTGTGTGTGTGTGTGTGTGTTGGGGGGGGGGGGGTTTCTGGGTCTGGGCAGGTTCATTGATGTTCAGGATAATATTGACCACTCCATCAGCGTGTCGCATACTTAAATAAATGTAGTGGAAAACATGGAGGAACGAGAAAAATGTAGCAAGCTTACCATTTTCATTGCAATAGGTCTTGTCATTAGCACCTATGGACCGTAAAAAATAAGAGCGCTTGAAAGAATGATATTGAATACAACTTAAAGTAAAAAACCATTTTGATGAGAACGTACAGGAATTTTCCCTCGCAGTTGAACAAAAAGCTTCCACCTTGCATGTTAGCTAAAGAGGGAGAACATTCATTTTTACATGTAGTTCACATGTTCCGAGTAATTTTATTATTCCCCGAAATGCCACTTGGATACTGATGACTAGATGCGAATGAGGTTCTTTTCCGATCCTGAAATGTGTGGTGCAGAGGACTCCCTACGAGTTGTGGCGTTCTGTCAGGGATATCCAGATGTCGTTCTCGAATAAAATACGCAAGTATTAAACATTTTCACTTTAATGCCATACCTGTTGGTGCAAGGAACGTTCGCATGCAGCGTTTGCCAAGATGAGATGAGAGTATTGTGAATTTCTTCTTCAGAGCCTATTTCCAAGTCCACATTCTTGGATATCCGACAGTGACGACATGAACAAAAGAGGGGTAATGAAATTTCTCATTTACGTCAGCAGTACTAAATACCTATGAACGATGTCAGAGAACCGCGAGACGACAGCAATGAACATCGAGCATCGGAATATTCCGTTCTTTCTCACATCCGTATTCTTCGCTTTCATCTCGATGCAGGGTTGGATCTCTCAAGAATCAATCTACTCGCAAGACGTTTGGTACTTCCTCCCCGATTCTGTCGAATCCGAGACGGCTCTCCTCTCCCAGTTGAAGGCAATGCCGATCTACATAGACTCCAACGTCTTTATTATACGACGAGATAGATTCAATTTTGAAAATGGGTCGGTTCCCATCCACGAGGCTTATAGGAAAGGAAAAAACATGCCGCTCATATACCAACAGGCAAGTTGTACGAGAAGATGAAAATAATCTACTTCCTATTTTTTAAATTTTAATTTACTCTGGTGATTATTATAAACCCAGGTTGCTATTTGGGACGGGGAGGTAGAAGCTGTCACAGAAGCAAACAAGTACGATCGGCGAAGAGATCTCACTGGAGTGAATTTTAATGTAATTTTTCGTGGGGTAAGTTGTTTTTCTTCAACCTTCGCTTATGCCAATGTGAAAATCTCAATTATTACTGCAGCTTATTCAGAATATACCAAGAGTCAGAGTCAGCTGTAGTTATAAAAACTACAAATTTTCTCATTGTATTTCATCACGCTTTTGGGTTTGAGTGATCCAATGCGGATAGAAAAGAAACCCTTAGTCCAGCATATTCAGGCAATTACGTTTCATTCAGATTAGCATACACGTACATGCTATTACACTCTTCTAGAGCCAATCAACTCAAACGTTGGTATGAAGCCTCAAGTGGACTATGTCATGTTCGCCAGCATATATCCATCTAAAATATCGCTTTTGTACTAATTTGGTTCACAATTCAAACTTTTTTCAGATACACATTCAAGATCCCCCCTGTAAGGCTAGGGGCGTCTAGAACCACTAGAGAAACGCTGTCTGACATGTCTATATATTCATCGAGTGAAACACATACGAGGTATTCATGTGGTAAATTTTTCAGGAACAGTGACGAAAATAGCAGCTTATTTAAAAAAAAACTCGCCCATACTTCGTAATTTTTTTGATTCTATAAGTTTGTTTATTTTGAATAATTTATATCACATTGTTGGTGTCTCCTTCCTTCTAATTAGTTTTTCCCGTCTGATCATATCTTTGTTGAAGGTCTTTTTCAATTAGAGTATCATAAAACGGATCCGATAATATTCAGTTATTAAAATATTAGCGGATCCGTATATACTGAAAGGGAATGTAGGAATATATATTCTTAACATCTATCCCCAGTCTTATCAGGTAAAAACGAATATGATCTTCCCAGCTAGTCCTACCTATGTGTGATTATGCTTATTTTCACGAAGGCAGGAGGCACAAGTTACTATATCGTTTGCTTCACCTCTTTTTTCAAGAGTGAACCCTTCATCGTGAACCTCAACGATACAGACGGAGTCGGGGGGATATTTGGCGAGACCTGGACAGTCTTGAAAAGTATCATGAATTTCTCGTGAGTTTTTCCCTCGCCATACGTCCCGTAATGATTCATCTCACGCTATTTTAGTATTCCCACAATATTCTAATTTTTGCGTAATAGTAAGGAAAATGACAAAACTTCTTCATTTTAAAGTTGCTCAAAGTTGCCTGATTGCCAGACAGAGAGCTTCCTTGTAAGACTGAACCAAGTCTGCGGTTCAAAATATAACCTAAAAAAATAATATATAGCAAATTGCATCCAGAGGTAAGACTACCAGTAGTAGAGAGGGGGGATCCGAGTATTACAGAGACATCTGATGGCCGATTGTCTGCAACACTTGTGCGTGCTTCAGTGCAGCGGGGTCGGGATTCAACTAACCCCCCACCAGACGTTCATTAATTTGCGCACATGCCGTGTGACGTGAAAGGGATGGGTTTAAAATGGGCTGCAGGAACTCTTTCGTCTCACTCTCTCCAATTGTCGAGACTGAAGAGATGATTCCTATTGACCTGTCTTAGTTGACCTCCCTCGCACGCAGTTTTCATCTGCGCTTTTCTGTCTCCCTAACTCTCCTGCCCTGCTCGTTTCTTTGTGCGCGCGGAAAAGCTTACAAGATCAAGGACTGACGAGTGGGTCCAAATTTCGAGGTAGAATAAAGCCTTCACAGGATGCAAGAAAGTTAATAACGAAAACCCTCTGAGAAGTCAGCCAAAGGAAACATTTATAATTTCCTGGAAAATCCTCCGTGCGGGTCGACATCCTCCCCAATAACAATGCATCCATGAAAATATCGAATTTGGAGGAAAGTGAGATACATTTTGACGCAGGCAAGAAAAGGTTAGGTCATAATCAATCATTTGGAAGGGAGAAACGTTGACAATTAAATGACGGAGATCCCTATTTGCAAATTTTTTGCATTGAGATTTTTCTCTTCCAAAGATAATTCACAAGATAGCCCATAGACGAGAATGGACGCAGATTAGTCGCAACTTGATTAGCTGCCTACATGCCTATCACGATACGATATCTTGCACTACCAAGAACAAGAGGATCAAGGCCTTACCAGGCTTATTTTAAAGTTGACTAATCTATGGGTACTCATAAGTGGTTACTTTGGCGACATGAGTTCTTCCTTCACCTCTGTAATTCCTTAATATCATAGAAGCACGAATAGTTTTGGGGACTCCCATTCATAAGAAGACGCACTCGATATCAAGGAAGCTAAAGAAGCTACCAATTCAGCCACTCAGCCGCCACGTTGAAACGAGACTTCCCTGTGTGACGTCAAAAGGATGCGCCTTCCCATATCCGTCTCCCGCGTCTCCCGCGTGTGATACCTATTGGCCCAATCTTCAGCAGCCTCAGATTCGACTCTTTAGGAAATTCGATCCATTGGGAGCCTCATTACCTAGTGCAAATGTTTCGTTGAGCTCCTACAGGAAAAAGGAGGAGTTGTTTACTCCTGTGTCGACGGTGACATCTATATTGCGTCCCTGGCAATGACTGGGATTCGAGCGGAGTATCGATCGACACACTTCTTACTCTGTACTCTCTAGTTACAGCCTAACCTAGAATCTACTTCAGGATCATTGTAATCGCTAGGGTTCTTTCAATCTGAGCGGTAGGATTGCTATGAAAAGAGGTCATCATTAGTATCAACGCCTCCTTAATAGCGAGAAAAGGAAGAATTTGACAATTCGATCCTGGCACATCCCAACACACAAACGTATTCTCTATGTCGAACTGTGTCTGATCACAATTTTGCTACAGCATTGAATCATCCCTTCACACAACGTTGCAACAACACAGATACGTTGATAAATCAATTCATGTTCAACGTCAAAACAACGTTGTAGCGTCAAACGGGATGGCAAAGTATGGAAACTTTCGATTTTGATTAAACTTTCCGAAGGGGGAGCACGTACAGGAAATTTCTAAGGAATGTTTTATTTTGTACTTTGTTTTCATTTCAAAAAGGCTATATTTTCTGCCCTAGCTAGGGTTGAGTGACGGTAACATTACCGTAAATTTTACCGGTTTACCGGTAATAACATTGTTGTCGCTTACCTGTAACTTTACTTGTAAATTACCTACGAAGAAAATCTCTTCCATATGGCGTTCTGTCGGATTGCATGGATACTAAATGGATAAATACCCAATATTGTGATTTATGTAAGGGGTCCCAGACAATGATTACCCACAACCCCCCCGTGCAGCCTCAACTAGAAGGTCTGCTGGACTGGTGATGACTATATCACATGGAAGTACATTCGTTCACAATATTTCGCAGGTGCAACACTGTGTGCTGCTGTGCATAACGATTCAGAGAGGAAACAATTCGTCGACCGCATTAGAGCGGTCACTTTCGCAAAGTCCGTGACGCAGGTGCGGTCTTCATTTCTCGCTTCTGGGTGACTGCACGCTTAGGAAGGTCAGAGGATTTCTTGAAAAGGAACTGGAGTAAGTCCCTTCCAGAGTGGGAGACCACATTTGCAGGTGGTCGACCAGAGGATCTCTCCCAGGAGTCGAAGAACATCATCGTTGAGGGGTCAGGCCGCCAGAAGAAGAGCTGCACTGAGCTCGGCAAGGAGATCCAGCTCCGCCGTGGTAAACAAGTGGGATCCGAATTTTTGCTTTTTAGAACAGCAAAAGAGAATATTGGGACATTTAGTTAATAAAAATTCATAAATTTTTTACTATAGCTTTCTCTGGGAACCGGTAACCAGGTGGTAATACGATAGTAAAATGCTGGTAAATTACTTGGAAATTACCGGTGGGTAATCCCCTCTTTACTTTCGATGATTTTACTTCCCTAGGTCTACCATGTTGAAATTGGTGCCTGATATGCACTGATCATAGGCAAAATTGTATTATTTTGTGTGCAGACCTACAGGCAGACAGTAGGAAGAAAAATGACCCAGTCGAAGAATATGGGTAGAAATACCTGCATATGGATCTATTCCGTTTGATCTTATAATCAGAATAAATAAGATGTAATGATGAAAAAAATTATCTGTCCCGTCTAGCTGCACCGATATTAGCGGCAAAGCTGTGAGTGGCATGGGAACATTAAATGAAACAACACAGATGTACTCAGGCTTATTCGGAATGCTGCAGAGAAAAGAAGTCGACTTCGTCGTGTCATCTTTCACCATCACCAAAACAAGATCCCTTTACCTGGACTTCCTCACGCCCATCCACGACTATAAGTGAGATCATACCGTTTTCCTCCTACATGGTGAATAATGAAGCACCGAATGTAAGTATATATGAGCTTATCTCTGGCAGCCCTCGGATTTACGTGGCAAAGAGACAGGATGCTTCGCCGTGGTTGGCATACTTGAAGCCGTTTTCCTGGTCACTCTGGCTTACAACCTTGGCTACAATCATCGCCTTCACTCTCATCCTATGGTTCCTGAATCGAAAAGCAAAAGACCTACAAACTTTCAACTTTCAGGACCATAGATTGCTAGATGTCCTTACCAACTGGCTCTATATATGGGGTGTTTTTTGCCAACAAGGTATTTTCTGACAGTATCAACTATTTCTACAAGTATAACTTTGTGATGAATTTGATTCTTCGTCTTTATCAATCGCGAAGGGGCACCAGAGGAGCCGAAGCACCGCTTACCTCGTGCTGTTCTCCTGATGAGCGTCGGGGTAGGCTTACTCATTTCCACTGCATATTCTGCGGTCCTCACATCATTCTTGGCAGTGGAAGTTCTCTCACTCCCGTTTGAGAAATGGCAAGACATCCTCAGTGTCGCCTCCTCCTGGAAACTTGGTGTCATGAAAGAATCCTCAGATTACGACATGTTCTTCAATGCATACAACGTCAGTTGTTGACATAAACATCACTAATGATCCAGTTTAATTCTAGGACAGGAATAATTTGGGAATGGAGGAGCAGCATTGGATAGTAGCCGGAGAACAAAACATAAAACGAAGCCCTATTCAGAATGAGTTTGTAGAGCAGGTGGTTTTCGACCTGCCCGACCGCTGAGTAGCCGGAATATAGTTTCTCCCTCTGAGCGTTTATTCAATGCTTACTAGTATTTCAGTCTAATAATATGCAGAAAGCTCGTATTTAAATTCATTATTCGTTTCTTGCTTCAAAAGAGGAACAGGTGAAAAATCTCAATGTCAGTGAATCAATCTTCCTGAATCTTCAACTTGAGGCATTCTTAGGATCCAGAACGTGGGGTCACTAATGCAAAGTTCTCGATCAAACTTGACATTTTAGTACTACTTATTCCTTGTATCTGTTAGCGTGAGAACATTGCTTCCATTATTCTACTAGAAGATCCTTTCCTTACTATTCCTTTGAGGACATACATTATTAAGAGTTCTTTCAAGAGAGGGAGCTGAGAGATGTTCCATGATTTTTACCTCCAAGATGCCAAGATGCCCATTTCTCATGAGACTCTCATACGAGCTGTGCTAAAACTTATTGTGTCGGGTGGAATTATGCAGGTTAAAGGGATGAATAGAAATCGTATGTTGAGGAATAGAGCTTTAAATGTTTTCCTTTGGAGTAATTATGACTAGACTAGCTTGACTTAACTGTCCTGACTTGGGTGCAAGCACCATGAGGGGGCAGCCCGAAGGCTCTGCCGTGAAGAGACGCAATTGGATATTGAGTACAATGAAGTAATCCGTATACTGCTTACCAGTAGCCTTACCTCCTGATGTGATACCTCTCATGCAATTCTCAATCGAGAGCAATAATGATGAAATGAAATAATGCCATTAAAACTTCTCTCCTTAGAATTCCTACGGGAAGACCTCAGACATGGGGCAAATATTCGAGAAGCTGATAATTAACAAGACTGAGAACTTGTTCGGTCCATACGAGGAAGGGATGGGGAGGACGCTCACAGAACCAAATTATGCCTTTGTTGGACCAGCTGAAAGCGTGTCTGTCTCCAACTACACGTGTGAACTGGTGGCCATTCCCGGGGAGCTCGCCTCCGAGCGCCTTTCCATTGCCCTCACGAAGGACTCCAGTTATACGAACCTCTTTAGTCACTTGTGAGTCCCTTTGTTTCGGTGAGTCGCAGCGGTGCAACACCGTTCATTTCTATTTATCCTTCATTTTTGACAGCATCGCAAGGTTTCACGAGGAAGGCATCCTGCAAAGAATCAAGGATCGATGGACCACGAAGAGAGGAAAAACTTGCTACGAATCCTTCGATTACAAAGAATCCACGTTTACCGATATTCAGTCCTTGATCGTATTCCTGTCCTTATCCATGCTTCTGTCCGTCATAGTCCTCTTCCTCGAGCTTTTCCGACACTCTTGTCGAAAGCTATGAAAGTTCTAATCAATCTGCAATAATGGAATACCTGCTATAATGATCAATATTTACATTGTTTGATTCTTGTGTTGTTGAAGTAGGGATTTTAGAAGCAACATTTCTCTAGACAAAGTACGAGGGTAAGTAGGAAAGTAAGGTTCTCTAATTTCTTCGGAGGGCAGGTTATTACACCGAAGACAATATGCAGGAAACGTCGCCACAATCGTTTATTATTTTTCCGCGTAGTCACCTGACTTTTTGAGACATTTGTCGTAACGGTCGATCAGCTTATCGAAGCCCTGCCGATAGAAGTACGCGTCCTGCTCCTGAAGCCACTTTGTGACTTCCTCTTTGACGGCGTCATCCGATGGAAAGCGTCGTCCTCGAAGATGCTTCTTCAGCTTCCGAAACAAGTGAAAATCCGACGGCGCCAGGTCTGGACTGTATGGTGGGTGGTGAACAGTTTCCCATCGCCAGGTGTTGAGAAGGTCCATCGTGAAGCGAGCAGTGTGCGGGCGGGCATTATCGTGCAATAGAAGCACTCCCTGTGACAGCAGTCCTGGCCGCTTCTGTCGAATCGCTTGTTTCAGTCGTGTCAACGTCAACTGATACGCTGCGGCATTCACAGTCTCACCACGTGGAGTGAAATCGATGAGAATGATCCCGTGAACGTCCCAAAAGATGGTTGCCATCACCTTTCCAGCACTCGGCGTTGTCTTGAACTTCTTTCTGACAGGGGAGTCGGGGTGCTTCCATGTCATTCATTCCATTTTTGTCTCTTGAGTATAATGGTGCACCTATGTCTTATCACCGGTGATGATGCGACACAAAAAGTCATGGCCTTCTTCCGCGTATCGCAGAAGGTTTTCGAGCGACGCTGTCATGCATTCCTGCTTGTGGCCGTCGAACAATTGCTTCGACACCCATCAGTTGCAGACTTTCCGATAGCCCAGTCGGTCGTGCACAATGTGCCAGACACAGCCATGTGAAAGTGTGAAAGACTGCTTCAAGTTCACAAGCGTCTGTCTGCTCGAATTGCTGCATCGATCTGATCGACAACATCGGATGATGTCGATGGGCGTCCACTTTTATCCCCATCCACTACAGTCACACGACCATTTTCGAACTCACGGCATCATTTCCTCACATGTTGCACTAACAGGACATTCATGCCGTACACAACCACAAGCTGCCGGTGGATTTCCACTGGTTGGGTCTTCTGTGCCCACAGAAACCGAATTACTGCTCGGATCTCCAGCTACGTATACACGTGCAGTACCTTCACCATGTTCGCTCCGACTCTGCGCCTGCCGGCGCGGGTTTGAAACAGTGGTGGCTGCTGCCACTTAGTGACACTATTTGGTACTAACATGGGGGGGGGTGTCACAGCACTAGTTGTTTGTTAGTTTGGCGGGGGAAGAAATGGGAACTTTACTTTCTGACTTACCCTCTCATATATAAAGGGTTGATTACCTTGGAGCGGTCACGATCTCAAGAAAACCTTGGAAGCCGTTCTTCCTTAGCGCTGTATCCATCATCAGCGGAACATTATCCTTCTGAAATGCCTAGAATCGGGAGATTTTGAAGAGGATGTTTCAGAATTGACAAAGGAGAGGGTCCTCATGGTTTTAGAAAATTCGATTGGGTGCTCGCAAATTCACCTTTCAGTGAAAAACTTCCTCTTCATCCACGATGTAAATGTTGTATGTACTCATGAGGTTGGAATATACGTGCACAAAATGTGCGTTCTTTTGGTTAAAATACGCAAAGTGATTTTTAATTTAAGAACATTGATGCTTGTGAAAATGGAGGTAAAAGGGCAGATATGTTAGAGTACCAGAAGAGATGTGTTCACAGCTATTAAAAGCGTTTCTGAAAGCCGTTTCACGATTTGATTATTCAATTTCAATAAGCAAGCAGGAAGACATCCTGTGGTAGATGTACTGGATAAATGCGTATACATGATGCATCAGCGTATTGAGGTCAATCTATTGATAGTATTTCTCTCTCCCCTGTATGAATGCCCGAAACTTCCAATTGGACTTTAAATGTCTCAAAACCTCTTGCTCAGGGATATCATGGCCTCTATTAGGACCACCGTACCAAGCTAATTCCGAATAGTTTCTGTTGCATGTCAGTAATGAGTGCGTGAACAGCGTCGACACACAGGGAAGAAACTTAGGGATTTGGGACAAGGATTGGGAGAAGGTGCTTTCTCGTCTTCTACAGCAACCGGAGAGTGAAGAAAAATCCGAGTCTCTTCGTCTCCCTAACGTATTACCCCACTTCACTTGGGTCGCTTCATGTTCTATTCCGCCTATATAACGCGGTATCGAACGGCCAACGAGACAGAGATTGTGACTCATTTCACCAGCGCAAAAGTCTTTGCACTGTGGGATCAGCACATTTTACATGCACGAAACTCCTGAGTTCCCTTACATTATCATCCCAGTCTGGAGACATCACACGTTGGGGCAGCACTCTATACCGATGGCTGCAATTATGAGTCTCATTTTTAAAAACCTCTCTCTGGTACGATACTTTATTACGTCTATATCCTGATTAGCCATTGTTTTTCGACTTATATCCTCCTCTATTCGGTGGACATGTTATCTCGACGGCAGTTTAGAGGAACAGGTGTTGAGGCATTTGTTTCAGAATGTTTCATTCCCACCGTTACAACAAGAACAAAACTTCCCTCAAATTGAAACCAATGAAGAGCTTGTCAAGATTTTAAAATATTGTAGGGTCTAGGATATTTTCTGTCTAATCTGTTTGAAACTCAACTCGATGAAAGAAATTCTTGTAAAAATTACAATTATCACAAAATCTATTTCACCCTAGTGACCTAGAGCTACTCATTTTTCATCGGGGATGCGTATGGATAAAGTGATGTAAGAGTGGATTCTTTATATTCTTTTTTGTGCTATAAATTACTTTAGATATCTATTATCCTTTTGTGCAGGCTGGTGGACTCCAAACATTCTCGGGCAGTAATTAATCAATACAGAACGATTTTATTACGGACACGAGACACCATGTACAGGTTAATCATGAGTTATGCCGCGCCTTCAGTTTCATACTAGCCAACAGTTCATGGAACAAGCTATATTAATCATCATGCTGCAATGGTCAACTTCCCTCTTACGAGGGACTTACATCCCTTTAGAATAGAGAAAGAGATATGGAAGCATGTTGGAGATGATGTTTAGGCGGTAAATGCACTGCTGCCTTTTTCACGCTTAAATAGCATAAATATGGAAAAGACACAAGTATTCGTATATCTTCAATAAGAAGCACACAGAAGAGGAAGATTGGAAATACTGCCATTTCCTCCTGCCAACCTTTAATTTCGAGGACTACCATATGACGCGGATTTAATGAATTGGAATACGTTCTTATCCCCAGGTTACTTACAGCGTATCTGGCCAATTGGGGTTCACCCTTCTTCAGAAGCTCAGGTCAAATATGAGCCATTGGAAGGATGCGAATATGTGATACGCCCTATTCAGGCCGAATCGCTGTAGCATACCCACGTGAAGAAGAGGAAGGCATCGTTCTTAATTCTCAAAAACGCTTTCCTTTCTCTCTGTTATTTGTCGTATGATAAGGACTCACGCATGTCCTGTTGCTGCACTTTGTATTAGTTCTACCATTTCAGGCAATTGATTTAAGCAAAAGTAGAAGCTTTCCAAGTGTCGTGTTCGGAGACCAGTATTTCATCATGGAACTTCGAACCGCATCTAGAGTGAACACTCGTATTTAACAGGATCGTGGATTTAGGAGAATCGGATTGAAGAATATTTTCTTCTGAACCTAAAGCCAATCATTTTCGTTTTCTGTGCGATATTATCTCATGGATATTAATTTGAAAGCGTTGTTCATCGTGATCCAAGTATAAGACCTGAATGCAGGATTAGTGAGTGGAGATATATATTTCTCGTGCCGCACTGTCGTGGTGGTCAATGAAGACAGATTATGGGCGAAGTACGCGTAAAATATTCTATCACCTGTTTCCAGTCCATGTGCAATTTCCATTTATTACAAGGACTATTTCTTTTCTTACTGTAATATTCAATATAGAGGGTTGAACAGTGTTGAAAAGAGAGCAAAATTAGATTAAATCTGACAAGGCATAGCGACTATCTTTTAATAAAAGTCATTAAGCATGATGCGAGTGTATTTTTTTCATGGAACATTGGTTACCGTGCTTACCTAAATCGCTCTTCAATGTTACCTGAGGAGCTGATCCTGATAAGTGCGGATCAAAAAATTCAATGAAGTGTTTACGATACTAGGCTTGAATCACCCTGAGTCGATTTCGTTAACTTTGGATCGCTCTGACAAGATTTTTGTGATGTATATGATTTTGGGTTTCCCCTATAAATTCGGTGATCTTATCTATGACTTTATCTTATCTACTATAGTCACTCATCTCAAGTTCTATATCGCACCTATTTCTCAATAAGGCAATGCATTTACAAAGTTTTAAGCCAATTCGCACTGACGGTGAGATAAATTCGTTTTGAGTGTTTCATTTGGAATGGCGAACTCATGAATCAACTCCTTGGTAGTAATCCATTCAGTAGTCTTTCTGCAAAGTGAAACACCACACGTCTGCTAAACTTAATCTAAGTCTAAATGTACATCTAAACCCTATCTAATCTTAAAGCAGTCTGAAAGGGTAAAAGCCTTTTTTTATTTTTGTCCAGACTCTTGTCTAAATGTTAGGATGACGCAAGAGAACTCTGTTCGATACTCTATGGGAGATCAAGATCATTCTACACATGTGTCATGACTATTCAGATCATATGAGCTTCGATAAAGGTCTTAAATAATTTTCACTTCTAAAGAAGTCTCAAGATGGAGAGTGAAATCCCTGAGGCCCAGCCCTTTCTGTTGCCGTCAATGTAATGGATGTCCCATCCTCCCGTTCTTATGAATAATTCTGATTTTGTCCCCACCAGCCTCTCACCGATACGCTGTGCACGTATGATTTTGCACTGAGATGAGTAGCG